CCTCTCTACTTTAATCTTTCCTTTAGTTTTTCATCTTTTTTATTTTATATCACTTTTTCTTCTTTTTTTTATCCTTTGGGATGTCCATTTCTTTCCTCTCTTCCCTCACCCTTTCTTTCTTCTTTCCCTACTCTGTTTCTCATGTCCTCTCCTTCTCTTTCCTATGTTTCTTCCTTTCTTTTTTCTCTTTCAAGAACCTCTTTTTCTTGTTCTTTCCTTTGTCTCTTTCATTGCAAGAAAACAAGGGCTTAAAGCCCCTTTGGTACGCTAGAACTCATTTTCCAACTGCTGCAGACTCTTCAACGCAAACGAGATCGGTTTACATCAAAATTGTTGGGAACCAGTGGCACGCGGGAAAATGACAAGACCGTATTTTTCTTGAAATTTGAATAAAACACTGAGCACTTGATCGACAAAATCACGTGGAGTTGCTTCAACACCCAATACAGTGATAGATCAGCTTTTTGTGTGTAATCCTTTTATTAAGTTGAATAAATTTTTCTTTTTATAAAAGAAAAGGTTGTGAGATTGGATTTCACTTTATTTTCAATAATGTGAAGATTGGTGTTGGCCTTTGTCTGCATATGTGAGATGGACTTCAGTCCCAAACGCACCTCTGGGCTTCTAATGACAACTTGACCCTCCTAGTCCTAGAACTTGGGCAATTGGGCCTTCCATGTCTTGTGGATCATGGGCTCTGAATTTGAAAACTTGTGTGGACTCTTGATCCCTTTCAGAGTCAATATCTTTTTAAGATCCAACCTAATAATCCTTCTTTTGGATAAAAATGAACATAATATTAATAATCAATAACTAAATAGATGCAAAGATCCGAGTCCACAATACAGCAAAACTAAAACACGGTAAGAGCAAACCGAAGCTTACTGTTGCCTGCAATTGATCCGAACTTTATTCAATCATGCTTATCATCTACTTAAGGTGTGGATTATAATAATCTTTTTAGGGAAAATGACAGATAAAGAAATATGAAATTATAATATCCCAACTTAGGAAGTTAAGAATTGAAAATGACAGAAAGGAAAGTTATTCCCATGTGAGAAATTATTTAAGGAAAGTGGTAGGTTGGGATTTGATCTTACTACTCCTTAGTCATTTGAACCAATAAAAAAGAGGGTGATCATCGGGCCATTAATGATTTGTTAACTTATAATGCAAAACATATATATAAGTTGACTCTTTTATTATGACTCTAGCCCGTAATAATAATTTATCTAGGAATAACAAGTCTGATTGAGAAATAACAAATTTAAATTTGATATTAATAAAACGTTTTTTCTAATACATAATAAGAAATAACATGTATATTAATTAAAAATGATAACAATTTATTTAGAAATAATAAATTTAAATTTGATATTAATAATGTGTTTTTTTTTCCCCTGATACGAAACATGAAAACATATCCTGTGATTTTTCCCAAGGCGAATGCAACTTGCGGTGAAATGAAATCGCCATCACATTTATCACCACTCTCGAACTCAATCTGCTTGTGCACTGACTCTGCAACTGCGCGTGTACATATTTTCCACAAACGTCATAGAATTGGTTTGTCCCAATAATATGATTAACAAATAAAGTCACTCAAAAGAGAGTTTTCTCAAATCAAAGTATCTCTCTCTCTCTCTCTATATATATATATATGCAACTTCCAGGAAGCCACAGTTTTCATATGTAAGTTATAAATACTACTCCTCTAGTCCTATTTATAATGTAGAAAGTGAAGTTTTTCATATCAATGTGTAGTTTTATCATTCATTAAATATTGTGCCAATTTTGTTCTTATGAGATATAATGTATATTAAATAAGGATAAAGTTAAAAAGTTGTTAAATTTTAAATGAGCTTTAAAAGTTAATAGAGTTTAAGATTTTTCTTGATCTATATAAAACATGTTGAAAATGACTTATAAGTAGAATCAAAGAAGTACAACTTATATTTGATTTTGTGTTAAAACATGGACTCAAAATAAGGGAAGGCATTTTTTGGGAGTAATAACTGTTCATAATTTTGGTCAAAAAAACTGTGCATAATTTATTTTTGCCATTAAATATGATAGATAATACTCCTCCGGTCCTTAATAGAAGACCTATTTAACTAATTTGATTAGATTAAGAAAGTTAGGTAAGTTAGTTAATTACAAGAAATATGACATGTTTTTCCTAAAACACCATAATCATTTTTCTTAATATCCTCTCTCTTCTACTTGATTATGGTTGAGGGAGTATCTATAGGAGTGATTTAGAAAAATTTGATAAATATGACAAATAAGTTTTACATTTAGGACCAAAATCAATTCAAAAATTAGGACTAGAGAAGTATAATTTAATTTTGAAAAAATGACAAATAAAGACCCCTGAATTACCAAAATTACACAAAGGTCACCTAAATAAGCCAAATTACCATGAGGGACCCAAACCCATATTATAAATATAAAATTTTAGTGAAATGTCTGAAATACACCTAATTCAAATAACAAGTTGACTATAGAAAGTGACAAGTTCACTTTAGCAAATAACAACTTTAGTAGAACAAATTACGACTTAGCTAAGGATATACCAAATGATAAGTTGATTATGGGAAATAACAAATTTACTTTAACGAATAACAATTTCAGTAGACCAAATCACAACTTGACTGAGGGGCATTTCAGACATTTCACCAAGATTTTATATTTGCAATATGGGATCGGGTCCCTGATGGTAATTTAACTTATTTAGGTGACTTATGTGAAATTTTGATAATTCCAGAGGTCTTTATTTGTGATTTTTCCTTTAATTTTCCGTAAGTGTGTATGATATAAGGCGCATGTACACACATACATATTAGCTTACTCAGCTTTTGAACATATAGTTACAATACACATTATTTTCACAATACAATCCTGATTGAGGAATAAAACATATCAAATAAATATATACACACGCACATATTAGAAAATAAGGCTTGGCTATACTTTATTCTCTCCATAATTTATTTATGTATAGACTCAAATCTTATTATTTTCACTTTATTAACTGTTAAATTGTGACAACTTTTGCTCGTTTACAATACATTCAGCCAGAGTCATTTTTTAATCTGGAAAAATTAAAAGTCATGTGGTAAAATTAATCATGTTGAAGTGCAAAATAAAATTAGGAAAAAATACATCGTCATGAATATATATTATCAATTTACTTATAACTATTATATTGTTTATAAATAAACAATAATATTCCGAATTCCATATAATTGTACGTATCAATATATGATATAGTTCCGGATCTTACGCTTATGAATATCCTTAGAAGATAGCAAACCTGCAAGAAAAAATTCAGAGGTCAAGGGTAACACTTAGAGCGGGACATGTGCGAAAATCTCCTTCCGAAAGAAAAAAGGAAAAAAAAAATTATTATGCAATTTTATATAAATAATTAATCATTGAAAATTCCTCCAACAAATTAATAGCATAAACAAAATCTGGTACAGAAAATAACAATAGGTCATTGCATAAGTGTCTATGACAATAACATATAGGAAATACAAAAAATTAACTTAATAAAAAAAAACAATGAGTTCAAGACATTACCAGTAAGAATGCCAACGAGAAAGTCTGCACGGGAAATTTTACAAAAGTCAAATATACGAACGACAACTATCCGAAGGAAAGTAATTATTATTTTTAAATGTCCCTCAAGAGTTATATAACTTATATTTCAAAGGTACAAAATTGATACTCTTTTTTTTTTGTACAAACCAGGCGGCATCCCACCACCAATAGGTAGAGGATAATTCAAGGACATCATATTTAAGGAACTCAGCAATCTGCCAACTGTGCCGGACTTTATTGGTGATGCTCTTTTATTTTAAATATAAGAAATATTTAGTGCTTAATATAAGAGTTATTTAATTAATTTGAGTAGATTAACAAAGTTAGTTATTTATGACAAGTATGAGTTGATTTTCTCAAATATTCTTTTAATCATGATTATCGTTGGATAAAAACTCTCTTGATATGTGTAATCAATAAAAATGCTTTGGATAATGAATTATAACTTTGGGAGATAAAGTGAATCAAATCTTACATTTAGAACCAGATTCAATTTTTAACTAGCTCTTATATTAAAAACCGAAGATGGTAGTTAGGAAGTTGGTTTTAATCTTAAGTAATTTATTTAATTTTCTTAATATATCCAAATTAATTTAATAACTCTTACATTAAAAACCAAAAGAGTATCTGATCACTTCTTAATGTTCTTGTTATTTAATACTCCTTCGATTCTTAATATATGACATAATTGTTGAGTTGATTTTGATCCTAAATATAAGATTTATTTCTCATATTTATCAGTTTCTCTTAAATTATTCCTATTGATATTCTCTCAATCATAATTAAATAGGTCAGGAAAGGATGATATTAAAGAAGATAATTATGATATTTTAGGAGAAACATGTCATATTTCTTATAATTAACTACGTTGCCTAACTTTTTTAATCTAATTAAATTAGTTCAGTAGGTTTTATATTAAGAAGAGAAAGAATAGTAAGAATTAAAAATTGAATGAAAGAATATTACCTTTTACATGAGTGCTCAAATATGCTGCCTTTCCTGCCGCATTCAACAGTAAAGCATAATATTAATTTCTTTAGATGATATATTTAAAAATTAATCTTACGAAATAAGAGGTAAATTGAATAATTTTCTTAGGAAAAATTATTATATGGAATCAATGCTACTAAATACTGATTTATGATGGAATTTTTTGGGATCATATTCTCTCTTTATTTTTATTTATTTATTTATTGAGTTCTCACAAACTAAACAGGTAATAAGGCAACGGCAAAAATGACTTGCCACAAAAGAGAGAGATGGATACTCCTTCCAAACCGAAGCAGGAGGTCCTGATTTGTGAGCAATAGCCCTTTTGCGTGCGATCGTCGAGGACGCAAGTCTCGTAAGTTGCGCAATGAATATCTAGACAAGCTAGCGGCCACCATGAAATCTCAACCATGGGAAAGTACTGTGTGAATATCAGCGTATGAGTAGCTTCTCCGCCTCAGGAATGAACTCCAATCTGAAACTATGGTGGCCACTGATTTCACACGACACTCAGGTTTCGACCTCCCAGCCTCTAAGTCTCCAACTACAGCATAAACATGACCTCCTCCATCTCCTTTGGATCCCCAGTCCACGCAGGGAGCCGTATCCACATAGTCCGCATCGTCCCTCACCGGATCACTACAATTCAGGTAAATGACGTTGTCGATTGTAGCCTCTAAACCTGCGGATGCTTCTAGAAAGACAGCATAGGGATTATTCCTATCATATTCGAATGAACCATTATAAGTGTCGCTGAAATTAGATCGGGATAAGAAATAGCGAGGGAGGGAGGAGCAATCACCCTCCCGAATGCCAGGATCTTTGACTCGGATTGTGTAATTGTTGTAGTTGATTCCCAGAACCTGGTATGTTCCTGAATGCAAATCAAGCAGTGTGATGTTGTTTTCACAGGCTAACTCATACGCCGGACCGCCGCAATTGGGCGGGTCGTCTCAGAGACGAAATGGATATGAAATGTTTGTGATCATGCCGCAATGAGACGGATTACAGGTTTTGCTCTCATATTTAAAACTCGTTGTTTGGGATGTCACATACACAAGAGTGAAGTACACCAAGCCCCAGAACATGATTAAGCCTATTATCCCTCTACCCATCCTTCACAGTGATAGCCAATTCACCCTCCTAATTCAATGGCTTCTCATCTCAAGTCAATGAAATCCATTCTTTTTTAAACTATATTGCAGCCCATTAATCAATTATGAGCTTCTTGCCTACTATGTTTGACTACACATGATATGTTTGACTACACGTGATAAAGTAGAAAAATTTTTATTTTCAATCACAGCTCCCAAAGGAAGAAATGGCAATGCTTTAGCCCCCTAAAAAATTATACGCTTTAGATAAGATGCCTCAAGCTCACAGTTGCCTTTTCTTTCCTGTTTGAAAGATAAAGAAATTCCAGAGCCACATGGTTGTTTTTTAATTCAAAATTGACCTGAAATTTTTGTCCTGTTCAGTAATGATGTTGCTAGGCAGCATCCCCCTTCCCCTGCTCTATTTCTTCTTCATGTGATGCCATGTTAGTTATACTTATATGTAGGAATTTGAATTTTAAGTTCGATTAAAAGAAAAGCTTCGGTCGCAATGGTTTGCTATCAGAGAGCTTTGTGGTTGGTGATAATGCAGGTATTGGCGCTGCTTATGAATCTGGGGAATGCTCAGAACCAGTGTGTCCCTGATGATGAAAGTGTTCCATTCCGTCTAGTACAGGCCACACTTGATAGTAATCTCTGTTCTACTACAACTAACAATGTGGAGATGGTTGAGGTCCCCGGAGTACAAGCTCTTCAAGGAGTTAGACTCGTCGCCTTAGAAAAACACTATAAGTCCCGCATCTTAAAATTATGTGATGTTGAAAGTTGTCTTCCTAAACTCTTTCTACAACGTCATCATTCATCCATTTATCCTTTCCAATTTGAAACAGTTAGGTCGGCATCATCCAACAAAAATTCCAGTGTTACATTTTTCTATTGTTCCTCGATTGGGTCGGAATACTTGAAAAACGACGATTACGCGTTCCAACCAAATTTGCATGTTTGTCCCATTTATGTTGTTGGCTCCACCGAAGGTATCCTTGAGAGGGACGTGACCTCTTGCACCAAGATGTTGCAGTTAGATTCTCCATTAGACCAAGATGATTTTCTGTTGAACAATTTTAACTTTAGATGGCCCCAGCCCAAATGTGATGTCGACAACAGCAAGACAATATTATTCAAATTTGTTTTACCAGCTTCAGGTAAAGATAGTTCACTTTGCTTCACCTTCATTTTTTCACCATTTGGTTTTAGAATGTTCCTTGGATTGAAATTAACGTTAAATTAATGTGCTCGGTAACTACACAGGTTCAATTGTGTTAGTTTTGTGCATTGTGTTCCTTCTACTAATATATCGCTACTTCAAAACGAAAGGAGGTGATCATGCAAGACTTGAAAAGTTTTTGAAGGATTACGAAGCTCTTAAGCCTACAAGATTTTCCTATGCTGATCTCAAAAGAATTACAAACAATTTCAAGGATAAAATAGGCGAAGGAGCTCCCAGATCAGTCTTCAAAGGTAAGCTGTCCAATCAGATTATAGTAGCTGTGAAGGTACTCAATAACTCTGATGACGATGGGAAGGACTTCATTAATGAAGCAGGGACTATGGGTAAAATTCATCACATCAACGTTGTTTGTTTGCTCGGCTTTTGTGCTAATGGTTTTCACCGTGCTCTTATTTATGACTTTTTTCCAAATGGTTCCCTCCAAATGTTCATATCTTCCCCAGACAACAAGGAAAATTTTCTTGGATGGTTGAAGTTGCAACAAACAGCTCTGGGCATAGCCAAAGGGATTGAATATCTCCACCATGATTGTGATTATCGAATTCTTCATTTTGATGTCAATCTTGGTAATGTGTTATTAGATCATAACTTTACTCCCAAAATTTCTGATTTTGGTCTAGCAAAATTGTGTTCCAAAAATCAAAGCGCTGGGTCGATAACAGCAGCTAGAGGAACTTTAGCTTATATTACACCTGAGTTTTCTCTAAAAACTTTGGAAATGTGTCATATAAATCAGATGTCTACAGTTATCGGATGTTATTATTAGAAATTTTTAGAGGAAGAAAAAATACCCACATAAGTGAAGAAGCTTTCCAAATTTTATATCCAAAATGGATCCATAATTTGATTGAAGGGGGAGACATAAATATTCACATTGAAGATGAAGATGACAATAAAATTGCTAGGAAACTAGCAATTGTGGGACTTTGGTGCATCCAATGGCATCCGATCAGTCGTTCATCCATGAAGACAGTGATACAGATGTTAGGAGGAGAAGGTGATGAATTAAAAGTGCACCCAATTCAATTTGACTCCGTAAATTCTAATACAAGGATCAACATTCCAGCAAGACATTTGAATTTGGGATTGGAAATTATTCATGAATTAGAATAAGAAGCACCCTCATGTAATTTGTATTTCTATTGGAAAATAATTTGTAAGAGTTTATGATATTGTGTTGTGTTGGTGATACAAATGAACTTTGTTTATAGATAAAGAAATGGATTCTAATTTTTTTGTTATATTTTCAATATATAAAAAGAATAAAAAAAAATAATTTGATATGTTGTGCGAGATAAATATATAAAAAATTGTATCATAAAACACACAAAAAAAAAATTTAATACCAAACACTTACTTAAACTTTTTTTTTTTGACCGGCAACTTACTTAAACTTATCCAGTGTGCAGGACTAGCCTCACTATAAATGAAAAATGACAGTAGGCAATAACGGTCATGTAATGATGGCGTCATATGTGGTGATCAAGATCAAGAGATCTCACAATAGTCTCAATCTTAATTTAATTTATTTTGGCCAGACACTTTTAGTATGATTGCGGTAATTTAACTTTACATTTCTGGACAATTCATTAGGAATGTTGATATTTAATTATTTTTAAGCATAAACAATTAATAGTCGCCATATTGGGGATTATACAGAGCTTTGCATTTACCCATGTAGAGATTCAATAATGGACCTATGTTTTAAAAGTCATAAAAAGAATAGTGTAATGTGCTATCACTTACGTGCTATTAGGTCAAAGAATAACGAACATAAAAATTCTCAGGTATATCCCCCCCCCCCCGCCCCTCATGTTCACTATTAGAAAATAGATCCATGTTGTCAAAGGTAGTCAAAATTAGTGCACTACTATGCATTTTTGTATTTGAATTCATATACGTTATACAGTTTATTTTATTAGAGTTATAATTTAGTGCGCACGTTATGGAACACTAGCCAATTTTTTATATTTGAAAGTGATAGTGTTTAGGTATAATTTTGACCTATATTAGTATTGATTGTTATATTGATTCTTTCATATATTGTTTTTAAAGTGCATGCCATATATAAACGGTGCTACCAAACATCATATAAAATAATGCCATGTTGATAGCAATCTCGATTTAAATAGATATCAACAATTAATATTAATATGTACATACATATATATATATATATTGGCATTGGCGTGAATGAACATATTTCAAGAAAAAGATCCTTTTCACATTCGTGCTTCTCATATTTCTATGTGTGTGTAAAAAGAGTTTGGAATCTAAAGATTATATATATATATATAAATATATAATGTTGAGCTTATCTTGCATGAGCTTCGAAGAGATAATCCTTTATTGACTGTAGTTGCCTTTTGAATAATTTTTATTCAAAAAAAAAAATGTCATCATAAGAATCACTTGTAGAGTTTTAAATTTGTGCCTAAAAGAAACTGCCATGATAAATATTGCAATTTCTCTCTCACCAAATTCCCTATGATATATATTTATATATATATAAGCGCATTATAGCTGGAACGGGGCCACTTAAAAATAGTTGTAAAGGGAGAAAAAGTGCCAATAGATTTCTTTTAACTATACACAAGTATCCTCCTATTGTAAATCCTGTTTGAGGTATTATAGGGTACTAAATATGAGAACATCTCTCAATGAGAATTCAAATCTTGATTTACTATGTTATTAGAAATTAGCATCTTTTGTTAGACCTAACCTCTGTAAATATCGTTCTAAGATTTGATAGATGGTGGTTTGGCTTAAATGATAATGATATGAAAAGGAAAAGGGGGAGGTGGAGAGGATAATATGAGAGAGCCCTGAGAAAAGAGAGGAATTCAAAATATTTGGGAATTTATTAAATCAATAATCAGTTAAATGTAAAGGAGATTGATTTACTTGTCAATGCTAGTCAAATCGAGTTAGCAGGCCAATATGACACGTGGGAAAAAAAAGGTTATTTTGTAACTTTTGGGAGGCCAAGTCGAAAAAAGAGAAAATATTGGTGCATTCTGAAAATACTGACAGTTATTTTAGTTCCAAGGCAAAATGATAAAATGTGAAAGTCAATTTTACTTTGATATTTTTAATAATTTGAAAATTTGGGCTTCTTTCTCCATTTGACCATACCTAAGCAGGGTCTCAGGCTCAGAGTTCATCTTCTTGGGCGTGGAAGGTGTATCATTGCGCCTCCTATATCGATAATGGACTGAAGTTGCTGTTAATTTTTTTTTAATTATTAATTTTAGCCAAAAAAGGACAATTTTATTAAAAACAAGTAAAAAACGTACACTTAAAAGGTCTTTTTTCACGTTGTCAACGTAATAGTAAAGAACTCGGTTATCTTTTTAAGTAAGGATGAGAATTAGAATCTTATAAATGAAGAAAAGTCATGTCTGGCTGGAGATCTATCTCTGAGCATATGTGAGATAATGTGAGGAAGGTTTAAATTGCTTTAGCCTATTCAATCTGAATCTCTTTTCTTTTATCTTTCCTCCACCTGACTGATATTGTGTAATGTCACAAAATCTTCGTGTGGGTTCATATCATAATTTCTTATAATAACATAATAAATTAAATACACTTTTTTATCGAATGATATGTAGTATATGTGCTATTTATATACCTATACATATAATATAAACTTTATAGGAAACTAAACTATTTATAACTTATTAGTGAACAATACAAGTCATTTCGAATTTTCTGTGCAAAGCATAAACATCTACAGTCTAATTCTTTTAAAGAAGAATGTTGCCTTGAATCC